GGGGGGGGGGGGCGCAAAGGGCTTGTTGGAGATGAGACGTGGGCAGGGGATCAGTCGAGCATTGCATCCAGTTGGTCTGCCAAGTCGTCAAACATGCTGCCAATGTCGTCCAAGATGGAGACTGCAGCCTTTTTGCTGGAAAGAGAGCCGGGATTGGAGAAAAAAAAAGGAAAATTCTAGCTGTGAATGAGGCAGACATCACAGTCACAGCAGACAGTTAGAGCTGTGAAATGGGGAGTGTAAACTGGTTTCTTAGTTCGCTTTTTAAAGATCTCTTTGTAATTAATGATGACCTCAATGTTCCTCAACATAGATACAGTGTAATAATAATAATAATAATAATACAATAACTGTTTTTTTGGCTGCTTAGGGGCAGTGAGAACAAATAGTGAACGTTGTCTGTCTGCTGTTTGGGGCTGAGCCGGTATTGTACAGTGGGGGCTTTAGAGCTTAGAACCACAGTGAGGGAACCAAAACAGCCCAACAATGACATGGAACCTACTATAAAGCTCAGTAAAGCCGAGGGGATCTGTAGATTGAAATAATAATTCTCTGTAGGTTCAACACTACGAGAGACCCCTTTTCACATTTCAACAACCAACCCCATTTTTTAGGCTTTAACTGTACTTACATTCAATAATTATCTCTATAGATGGTCGTTTCTAGTGGTAGTGGCACACCCTGCTATACGCTGGATTCAAATTGCCTATTTGAGTACGAGGGATTCACAGCTTACTGTTCACACTCCTCACACCGTGCTACAGCTGTATTAAGTCACTGCTAATGCATATGGAACACGTCCTGCTGCCACTGCTTCACATTAAATACTGAAGCAGCCACAGGAAACGTATTTGGTTGCTCTTCTGTTGTATTTCTGAGAAGCTACTGAGAAGTGTTTGCTATAGTATTAAAACGCACTCGCTGTTACCATGGTAGTTTAAGTCATGGCAGTCGTTATAAATACTCCAACCTTGTATCCGTCTGTTTGTTTTGACATACAGCTTTAAATACTACAGAATGCATCAGCCGAAGCAACCGTTGCTTAGGCACAGATACCAGCCAGAGGACCAAATCAGAGCTGTGATCAGAAAATCGTTTCAAACCGCGCTGACCCAGAACTAGAAAATGAATGAACATGATTTAAAACGCAGAATGTTTTATCAGATTTCTATAAATTGTAGTTGTTTTTTTAAAAAAGAAAATCTGCTTTCCTCTGAGGGTGATGGTGTTGCTGGTCACAGATTTTGGTAGATATCTCTTTCCATTGTCAATGAACCACAGTTGTACTTCCCCAATAAATGGTTACAGTATGAGACACTTCTGTATTTTACACTTCTGCTTTTCAGGATTCAGAGGTTTTATTGGCCACATACACATATTATCTGTTACATAATACAGTGTGGCATACTCATTAAGGCCCTCATAATAGGATACGATGTATTCATTTGTGAGTTTGCTAGTTGTTTGTTTTTATGCTAAGCTAAGCTGACATTAGACATCCGATTTTATAATCTCCCTCTTGTAAAGAAAGATGAGAAGCATATTTCCCAAAATGTTGAACTACTTCTTTTAGATCTTATGTACACAGGGGAGTATCATGTTGGAGGTGCTCGCACTGCCAGTCACCAAAACATTGTCTGAGATGAGCAGGACTTTAACTTCCATAACGCTAAACACTTGGACAAAGTCCTCTCACTCTGCAGCACTACATCTTAGTATCCATTTGGAAGCCCAGAGAGATTGTAGTTGGATGTAAATGGTACTTTCTATGGCAAAATCATATGATGAACGTCATGAATACTTACTCATTTTGTGCGTCCTCCTCTTTGATTTGATGTTCAACAGCCTGCAGAGCTGCAGCCAAGGAGGCACTGGTCTCCTCCAAACGATGCTGCACCTCCTCCCCCTGCTCTACTTCCTCTCCTTGACTCTCCAGCTCCCTCAGGTTCTGTTCCACTGCTTTCTTCCTCTCCTCCTCCTGCTGCTGCTCCTTGTGCCTCTTGTGCTCCCTCCCTCTCCTCCTCTCTTCTTCCTCTCTCCTCCTCTCCTCTTCCTCCTCCACCTCCCGTCCTCCCAGCAGGTCAATGGAGAGGCCGGCGATGGACGAGCGGGGAGGTTTGACGGGGTGCGGCGACGGCGTGGAGGGACTCTGGGCCGGAGAGGGGGAAGTAAGGGGGAGTCCCGGAGAGAGGGATGGAGCAGAGGGGGTGTCAGGAGCTGGAAGA